CCGCGCGAGCGGGCTCGCATGGAATGCCCCTGAGAGTCATTCCGTGCGAGCGGGCTCGCTGATGCCGATAGCCGTTGGAATTCAAATTTTTAGGTTGGACCCCCTAGGGGCCACAGGGGAAGTCCCTTCCGCGCGAGCGGGCTCGCATGGAATGCCCCTGAGGGTCATTCCGTGCGAGCGGGCTCGCTGCTGCCGATAGCCGTTGGAATTCCAACTTCTAGGTGGGACCCCCTAGGGGCCACAAGGGAGGTCCCTTCCGCGCGAGCGGGCTCGCATGGAATGCCCCTGAGGGTCATTCCGTTCGAGCGGGCTCGCTGCTGCCGATAGCCGTTGGAATTCCAACTTTTAGGTGGGACCCCCTAGGGGCCACAGGGGAGGTCCCTTCCGCGCAAGCGGGCTCGTATGGGATGCCCCTGAGGGTCATTCCGTGCGAGCGGGCTCGCTGCTGCCGATAGCCATTGGAATTCCAACTTCTAGGTGGGACCCCCTAGGGGCCACAGGGGAGGTCCCTTCCGCGCGAGCGGGCTCGCATGGAATGCCCCTGAAGGACATTCCGTGCGAGCGGGCTCGCTGCTGCCGATAGCCGATGGAATTCAAATTTTTAGGTGGGAACCCCTAGAGGCCACAGGGGAGGTCCTTTCCGCGCGAGCGGGCTCGCATGGAATGTCCCTGAAGGTCATTCCGTGCGAGCGGGCTCGCTGCTGCCGATAGCCGTTGGAATTCCAATTTTTAGGTGGGACCCCCTAGGGGCCACAAGGGAGGTCTCTTCCGCGCGAGCGGGCTCCCATGAATTGCCCCTGAGGGTCATTCCGTTCGAGCGGGCTCGCTGCTGCCGATAGCCGTTGGAATTCCAACTTTTAGGTGGGACCCCCTAGGGGCCACAGGGGAGGTCCCTTCCGCGCGAGCGGGCTCGCATGGAATGCCCCTGAGGGTCATTCCGTGCGAGCGGGCTCGCTGATGCCGATAGCCGTTGGAATTCCAACTTTTAGGTGGGACCCCCTAGGGGCCACAGGGGAGGTCCCTTCCGCGCGAGCGGGCTCGCATGGAATGCCCCTGAGGGTCATTCCGTGCGAGCGGGCTCGCTGCTGCCGATAGCCGTTGGAATTCCAACTTTTAGGTGGGACCCCCTAGGGGCCACAGGGGAGGTCCCTTCCGCGCGAGCGGGCTCGCATGGAATGCCCCTGAGGGTCATTCCGTTCGAGCGGGCTCGCTGATGCCGATATCCGTTGGAATTCCAACTTTTAGGTGGGACCCCCTAGGGGCCACAGGGGAAGTCCCTTCCGCGCGAGCGGGCTCGCATGGAATGCCCCTGAGGGTCATTCCGTGCGAGCGGGCTCGCTGCTGCCGATAGCCGTTGGAATTCCAACTTTTAGGTGGGACCCCCTAGGGGCCACAGGGGAGGTCCCTTCCGCGCGAGCGGGCTCGCATGGAATGCCCGAGGATGATGATCATGATGTGTGTGTGTGTGAGTGATTGTGTGTGTGACTGGGTGTGGGTTGGTGTGTGGCCCGCGGCCGTCCAGAGAAAACAAGAACCCCACTTAGGATGTGGGGAAAAGCTCACTGAACATCAGCGATTGTTGCCTCTTCGGGCGCTCTTGGGGGACCTCTTGGAGGCTTCTTGCTTCTTGGGGCTAATTGTGGGGTCATCTCTACCGTCATTGGTCGTTTTGGCAGTCTGGTGCGATTTCTGACAGTCGGGGCCGTCTTCGGGCGATCTCAGAGGGCCCCCGGCGCCCATGCAGGGAGCTCCCCTGGGGCCCCCGGCACATCCATTTGTGGTCGGGGTCGCGGCCCGGGGGTTCCCTGGTCTGGTTCCCCGTTACATGTCGCTTTGCTAATATACGATAAATGATAAATACCTATATACATAGAAAACTGATCCGGCTAGACCTGCGTCCCGCTGGGGGCCACTGGGTCCCGAGCGCGCCTGGAGGGCTCAAGACGGCTCCTGATGACTTCCACAGGGCCCCAAGCTGGCCCAAAAGAGGGCTGCAAGACGCCCATGGCCCCAAGACTGTCCCAGAGGCCCCCTTCTCGCCCCAAGACGCCCCAAGAGGCCTCCCAAGGGAGCCCCAAGATGCCAAAATCGCCAAATCCCTTTATAAACCGTACATCAACAACGTCTTGCCTTCCCGACGCTCAAAGACGACCCAAGACGCCCCCCAGATTGCCCCAAGACGGCCCAAGAGGCACTCAAGAGGCCCCCACGACTGCCCAAGAGGGCCCGAAGACAACCCAAGAGGCCCCCCAAACGGCCCAAGGGGACCCCAAAACGGCTCCCAAGAGAGGCACCAGAGGCCCCTAAGAGACCCCAAAAAGGCCCCAAGAGACGCCAAAACAGCCCCCAAGACACCCCAAGAAGCCTCCCAAGAGAGCCCCAAGATGCCAAAATCGCCCCAATCCCTGAGTAAAACGTACGTTTTCAGCATCAACAATGTCTCGCCTTCCCGACGCTCCAAGACGGCCCAAGACGCCTCCCAGATTGCCCCAAGACGGCTCAAGAGGCACTCAAGAGGCCCCCACGACGGCCCAAGAGGGCCCCAAGACGGCCCAAGAGGATGCAACCTATGTAATGCAATCCACCCTGCGGAACTTGAAGTCGTCATCTCCACTGCTCGCGCAAACATCCCACCCACCCACCCGCAACTTGGTTTGCAAAACTTGTTAAGACCGACTACGACGACACCGACGACAACGACTAGGACGACACCGACGACGTCTCCGACGACTTCGACGACGACAACGACGCCGACGCCGACGACGACGAAGACGACGACGACGACGACGACGCCAACGAAGGCGACGACGAGGGAGGAAGAAGGACGACGACGGCGACAACGGCGACAACGACGACAACGACGAGGGAGGAGGGAGGACGGCGACGACGCGAACGACGACGAAGGAGGAAGGACGGCGACGCCGACGACAACGACGAGGGAGGAGGGAAGACGACGACGACAACGACGACGACGACGGCGACGACATAGGAGGGACGACGATGAGACGCCGACGACGGACGACGACGACGACGTGGGAGGAGGAAGGACGACAACGGCGACAACGACGATGGAAACGACCACGACGCCAAAGAGGACGACGACGACAAACAGGAGAAAAGACAGAGGACGACGTATGCGACGACGACGACGACGCGGGATGAGGGAGGACGGCGACGACGACGACGACGACGCAAGAGCGCGCGCGCACGCTTTTGTTGAAAATCCGTGTTGCGAAACCTTGGGTTCTTGTAGGTTTTTTGGGCGCACGATTTTGAAGTCCTTCCGAAACCGATGGGTTTCGAAGGTTTTCGGCATACGTCCGCGACGACGCGCGCGTCTGCACTTCGTCCCATTTGTTGCAAAAGATTCTCGCGACGGCACACGCGCAAGGGCGTTCGACAGATTTCGACATGCGCGCGCGAAGCCGGCTTGGTAGCATTTTGTGAAAATCTTGAAAAACCTATGGTTTTCTTAAGATTTCGCAAGAGCTCGCGCGGAAGTTTTTTTAGCAAACCAGTGTTGCGAAACCATGTGTTTTTGTATGTTTTTCGGAAACTCGATTGCGAAATCCTTCCGGCACCCAAGGTTTTTGAAGGATTTCGGCATGCGCGCGCGACGACGCGCGCGTGTGCACTTCGTCCCGTCTTTTGCAAGGGATTCGTGAAAAAGTATTATGTTAGAAAGAAAAAGGTCCCCGCATAGTGTTATTTGACAGGGAACCGCAGGGGGGAGAGATACCGGCTTGGCTGGGATGGTATGAATTCATATTTAGGATGGACATGTGGTCAGAATCATATGTGATTTACAGCACGCGCGGGGGACCCGATAAGTCCGGGGGGGGGGTAGAATCTATTACTCTTTTAAAAAGGAGAATCTATGCGGTCCAATC